TTTGATGACATACGTGAGCACAAAAGCGTGCGTGCGAGCTAACGTGTGACGCCTTAAGGTGATTGGCTAGATAATTAAAGGTCGCAATGCCATTGGCACGTATGAATGCTCTAGTCGAATGGAGGCCAACCTGCCATTTTACAGTCCGGATTTCACACGAGAGTCATAGTGTTCATCCTCTGGTGCCGAGAACATGATTTCCTTCCGCGAACCCGTCTATCAGGGCATAGCTGAACCTCCAAGTTCGGACTACGCCATGGAGCGCCCCGTCGCTCGTCGCCCCCCGCTTGCACGATCTTTAAAGGACAGATTGACTAACATTGTGAGCATGCATGTGCCAAGCAACCAGCCCTATCTTTCTCCGAACCGCAACCTGAAGGTGAAGGCGGAACTCATAGAAGAGGGTGGAATGGATGGCGTGAACGACCGTTTTGGACTACTGACCCTTCATCCCAACGAAAACAACGAAACTCACGAAGGACTTTGTGAAATCACCGCCCAGCTAGATAAAAGTGGCCTCTCTAAGGCGGTTGAGGAAGCTTTACTGTCCGAAAATATTGATTTACCACCAGAGAAGTGTGTTGTTTCTTGTATGACTTTCGATCGAAACTCTTTGTACATCTGTGTCGAGGGTATTCCCTACGTCTTCAAGACACCAATAGCTTCGTTGCCGTTGTCAAAGCAGGGCCTCTCAATGGACAAAGTCCACCTAAAACTGCCAGGCTCCCTAGAATTACTGCCGTCAGCTTTGTGCTTAAAGCAAATCCAGAACGAGACATGCGAACTGTTTGTAATCGGACAGGCTCGATCACCAACGTCGGACGTTTCATTAAACATGCTTGTTTGCTTCTCTCCGGATGGCAGACTGATTGCCCAAACTCGCAAGTATCCATTCCGTCGTTTCGTAGCCATTGACATCGACGGCGACGGTAACCCGCTGTTATCGTGCGCAGCGGGACCGGAAGGCACCCCGGCCGCCCAGATCTGCAAGCTGACACCCCACTTTGAGCGGCGCATTTTCTCAATCACGATGCGCAGAGATCAGACCGTCTA